AAGTAATATATATATTAATTATTAATTATATGGGAAGTTGTAATCCTGATGCCACTCTTAAAATGTTTGGCGATGCAACAACTTTATGTACATTCGGCAGAAATACATAGTCAAAACAAATTAATTGAAGTTTTTATTACCACTTATGCTGAACGTGCTACCCCTAAGTAGGAATTGCTTTGTAATACAATAAGAAGATCTCTCTTGTGCTAATATGAAGTGCATAATGGTAAGTTTTATTAAATTATGTTTTATTATTATTTACCATTTATTGCCACAAATAAGAATACAAAATTAGATACACAAGAAGAAAAAACAATGAAAAAAAAAATAATAAGAACAAAAATATTTACATAAAATCCCATTGTCGACTGTTAGTCGAGCAATGGGTAAACTTATACAGTATGAGCAGTATCAGCAAATGGATCATTTTATCGCACAAGCGATCTCTGCTAAATGACCGAACAGAACCAAATAAGATTAAGCAAGAAAAAGAGAAAAACAAAGAAAAGACACGAAAAGAGAGAGAGAACGGCTAAAAGAGACCAAAAGTATCTGCCGGATATCAATTGCCAACAAGTGAGAGCAGTTGAAGAAAGGAAAAAAGAGAAAGACAAAGAACCAGTGGCTCTTTAAAATATGTCTAAAATTAGCAATGTTAGAAAATTTACGAATTTCAGAAGGCAGTCCATTCCATAGCGCAATCGACTGTACTGTAAATGATCTGTGATAAATTTCAGTGGTATGAACAGGAAATGTAAGAATAGTATCAGAACGTGAACGAGTAGCAAGCTCATGAGTTGATAATTCCTGGAACCTATCTGATAAGTACTTTGGGGTGCAGTTATGAAGGATTTTAAATAAAATGGTCGTCCCTAACAAATATAAGTGAGTAGCAAAGATTACGACGGACCACCGGAGGAAGAGAGCACCGAAGTCTTTTTAAAGAGTGGAAGCAAGCATAAACTTTTCTGCAAACATGTTGAATTTGCGGTTTCCAAGACAGTGCAGAATCCATAAGGACTACTCCAAGATTTTTAACTGTGTCAGAAAACCGTATTACATTTTCATCCAGCATCAGATCACTGCAGGTAGATGGATTAATCTTACCAAGTAATTGACGAGTTTCAAACACAATAGCTTGCGTTTTAACTGAGTTCAACTTCTAACTCCGAGACCAGTTCGAGACCTTAGATAGATCGTTATTAAGTCGCACAATAGCTTCCGGAATTTAGCAACAGTTGTAGTACTATATATCTGGAGGTCGTCAGAATACAAATGATAATTACACGAGATATAATCAGTAACACTATTAACGAATAAAGAAAAAAGTAACGGACCCAATACACTGCCCTGAGGAACACCACATTTGATTGCACAAGCAGAAGAAATTGAAGAGTTAGCGCGTACGCACATGGAAAAGGTAAGATTGAAACCAAGAAACATAGGAGAGAGTGAATCCGTAAGCAGAAAGAGACGCCAAAAGAAGGCTGTAATCGAGCAGTACTAGCACAGTAACACATCTGTTGTCGCAGGCATATCTAATATCATCAGTAACTTTAATGAGGGCAGTAGCTGTACTATGCCCACTGCGAAAACCCGATTGCAACTCATTGTGTAAATTAAACCTCTCTAGAAATCCTTGAACCTGTAAATAAACTAAGCGTTCAACAGCTTTTGATAGTACGGATAAAATACTACTTGCTTAGATGGCCACAGGCATGAGTTCGGATCTACCTGTTATATTTTTCGAAATTAAAGGAAATATAAATCAAAATCGATATTTTTTAAAAAAATAAAAATTATTCTTTATTTTAGAGCACCATCTTTAATTTAATAGTGCAATTACATAAATTTATCCTAGTTGTATACCTTTCCAGTAGTGATTTTAAACTGACATATTTTATTTAGGCCCACTTTTACTACCTCCTGATAAATTTATCCGATAGATAAATCCAGTTTTTAGCCAATGAGAGCGTTTAAAACTGTGGTAACCATAGCAACTATCCTCTAGATAGTTTATCAGGAGGATGGTAAAAGTGGGCTTTAGTAGTATAACTAAGTTATTTAGTCACACCTCTATAACAAAGGTAACTAATTTACCGATATTAACTTAGTTTTGCTACTAAATATGAGATGTCGCCCGAAATGTAATTTTTCCAAAAAAAATTTTGGTTTTACACATTTTTAGTGATTTTTAATTGTGACCGCAACGAGATGCGAAACCTTACCACCTCATCCAGACGACTTCCTTATCGAATAGTATTATATTGTAGGTGCCATGAAAAAGTACAGTATAAAAACTTGATTAAATGAATATGGGTGTTTACCAAACTTTGCATTTCGATCCATGAGGCGAAATACTTGAGCTGGGGAAGGTAGCCCGAACACTAGAATTCTTTTTAGGTTTTACACTCATCTATATTAATGATACATAGATTGCTTTTTACGAACATTATCATTTAAGAGACCTCGAACTAGAAACTTTCGGATTGAGCTGTGGGTTTTTTGAAAAAATGTTTAACGTTTCGGATGCCATGTTGCTACCAGCTAGAAAAACACCTTGCCAAGATTCTGTCTCCTTTTAAAATAGAATCATATCTCAGAGATTCTACATATTTGCAAGAATCAATCAAGAGTATGAAGTTAGATCATCGCCAGGATATCCTGGTAAGTTTTGACGTGGAATCTCTATTCACCAGGCTACGCCGTGGATGGTCTACGCCAGAAACTCATCCCGGAGGGTTTGCCCAAGTATGTCCCAGAACTAGTAGAGTACTGCCTGTCATGGACATATTTTAGCTGAAAGAAAGAATTTGCGGTTTTCTACTGAAATAAAAAGTGACAGAAATAGTATTCTTTCCGTATTTGCTAGTATAGATGATGAGGAACACGATGTAGTTCAAATAAAATTGATCAGAAAATCTATTTTACTCGAAATTTGTAGAAAATCACGAATTTGCGGTTTTCTACAAAAATAAAAAGTGACAGAAATAGCTTTCTTTTCGTATTTGCTACTATAGATGATGAGGAATACGATGTAGTTCAAATTAAATTGATCAGAAAATCTGTTTTACTCGAAATTAATATTTCGATAAGTATTTTTTCAGGAATAAAACCGTTCTTGAAAATCTCTATTCATTCTTGAAATAAAAATGTTTTAAACCAAGAATTTTTAAGATATTTTGACGAAACTTTCATGATTTATAAAGAAAAGTATGTATTTTTTCATGAATCAAATAGTTCTTGAATATTTCTATTCATTCATTAGATAAAAAAATTTTAAAACATTCAGAATTTTTACAATTTTAAGAAGATAACAATTTTCTACAATCATTTTTAAAAACTCGTGAAAAATCGAATTCTTAAGGTATCTTGATGAAACATTCATGATTTATAAAGAAAAGTATGTACTTTTTCAGGAATAAAACCATTCTTGAAAATCTCTATTCATTCTTGAGATAAAAATGTTTTAAACCAAGAATTTTTAAGATTTTTTGAAGATGACAATTTTCTATAATCAGTTTTAAAAAGTCGTAAAAGAACGAATTTTTAATATATTTTGACGAAACTTTCATGATTTATAAAGAAAAGTATGTATTTTTTCATGAATCAAACGGTTCTTGAATATCTCTATTCGTTCATGAGATAAAAAATTTTTAAAACATAAAGAATTTTTACAATTTTAAAAAGATAACAATTTTCTACAATCATTTTTAGAAACTCGTGAAAAATCGAATTCTTAAGGTATCTTGCTGAAACATTCATGATTTATAAAGAAAAGTATGTACTTTTTCAGGAATAAAACCATTCTTGAAAATCTCTATTCATTCTTGAGATAAAAATGTTTTAAACCAAGAATTTTTAAGATTTTTTGAAGATGACAATTTTCTATAATCAGTTTTAAAAAGTCGTAAAAGAACGAATTTTTAATATATTTTGACGAAACTTTCATGATTTATAAAGAAAAGTATGTATTTTTTCATGAATCAAACGGTTCTTGAATATCTCTATTCGTTCATGAGATAAAAAATTTTTAAAACATAAAAAATTTTTACAATTTTAAAAAGATAACAATTTTCTACAATCATTTTTAAAAACTCGTGAAAAATCGAATTCTTAAGGTATCTTGATGAAACATTCATGATTTATAAAGAAAAGTATGTACTTTTTTAGGAATAAAACTATTCTTAAAAATCTCTATTCATTCTTGAGATAAAAATGTTTTAAACCAAGAATTTTTAAGATTTTTTGAAGATGACAATTTTCTACAATCATTTTTAAACAGTTGTAAAAGAACGAATTTTTAAGATATTTTGACGAAACATTCATCATTTATAAAGAAAAGTATGTATTTTTTCATGAATCAAACAGTTTTTGAATATCTCTATTCGTTCATGAGATAAAAAATTTTTAAAACAACCAAAATTTTTATGATTTTAAGAAAATAACAATTTTCTACAATCATTTTTAAAAAGTTGTAAAATAACGAATTTTGAAGATATTTTGACGAAACATTCATGATTTATAAAGAAAAGTATCTATTTTTTCATGAATTAAACCGTTCTAGAAAATCTCTATTCGTTCATGAGATAAAAACTGTTTAAAACAGCCAGAATTTTTACAATTGTAAGAGACAACAATTTTCTACAACCATTCTGAAAAAATCGTCAAAGATCGAATTTTAAAGATATCTTGATAAAACATTCGTGATTTATAAAGAAAAGTGTGTATTTTTTCATGAATCAAACAGTTCTTGAATATCTCTATTCGTTCATGAGATAAAAACTTTTTAAAAAACCCAGAATTGTAGTTCGAATTAAATTGAGCAGAAATTCACAACTTTTAGGTTGCTGTGAAATAAATCAAAAAAAAATGTTTTGACGTCTCTCAAAATTTATAAAAATGGTTTAAATTTATTGTTAGAAGTATATCTCAAGAACTTTACAAAAAAAAAGTAACTGATTTTAAGGAAAAAATTTTAATTTGGTTAATAAAAGTTATTTTTTAATTGCGAATAAGCTTATTAAAAAAAAATGGAAGATAAGAAGATTATAAAAAGAATAAAAACTAACATTGTCACATCACAAGATTACCCGATGAATCCAAATCCTGAAACTCTTAAAAGTATTGAGAAGATTCACAAATGGGCTTCGTCAAGAGATGACGTGGAAACATCCGATTTAGAAGTTAAAATCAATTTTAAACAAAAAACGATTCAATTTAATTGGCAAGAAAATCAAAAATAACATTTTCTTTTATTTACCACGAATTATTTTAAAATAAAACAAGTAATTATTAATTAAACTTAACTCTCCAATTATCTAATCAATCATAAAAAAAAAATTTATGAATCATTTGAGTTGGACACATTAATTGATCTTAAACACACCTTAATTACCCTTTATGTATTCGTAGGGGTTATTTGAGCATTAAACATTCAAATTGAGAGGTTCAAAAAGAAATTTTCTCGCTATTAGTTGAGTTTTAACCTCGAAACAAAAAACATGTTACCCTCACTTTTAGACGACAAAGTATTCCTTTACGAAGATGAATTAAAAATAAAAGGCGTTATCGAAGAGTTTAAACATAGCGCTAGAGCTAGAGACATCAAAGAACGCTCACAATTACCTCAAAACGATGGAAAAGTCATTGACGAACACGACCAATTTTATAGGGATCACAAATTATTACTAAAATTATTTCAGGTTTATTTTAATTAAAAACAAATTACGCTTTAATTTTGATTAATGACAATTTTTTTTATTAGATATTAGGTGTCATGCCTGTGCAAAGAGGTCAAATCGGTAAAATAACCTTCAGCTGGTTTAGTATCCCGACTATTTACGCATATTGTTTTTACGTAATAACAACAATACTGGTTTTATTGGTGGGTTACGAAAGAATCATTATTTTAACCCAAAAAAGTAAAAAATTCGACGAATACATCTACTCGATCATTTTCGTCGTATTTTTGGTACCACATTTTTGGATTCCTTTCGTTGGTTGGGGCGTAGCCAAAGATGTTTGCGATTACAAAAACAGCTGGGGATTTTTTCAATTAGATTATTACAAAATCACGGGAAAATCTTTAGAATTTCCCCATTTAAGCGTTTTAATCATCATTATTAGTTCGGGGTGTTTAATTTTAGCAATTATTTTTTTATTAACGCTAAGCGCTTTATTAGAAGGATTTACGATGTATCACACAACAGCTTATATTCATATCATTACCATGATTAATATGAACTGTGCTTTGTGGTATATTAATTGTAGAGCGATTGGAAATGCTAGTAAATCGGTTGCTGATAGTTTTGAACAAGTTAATTAATTTTTTTGTGGGTTTTTCCCCTAAGTGTTAATTGTTTTGCTTTTTTAGGATGTTAAAGAATATTGTGCTGGATATATCGTTAAACATTATAGGGTTTTATGGTTGAATTTAAGCGAGATTTTGCAAAAATTGGGGAATGCTTATGCAAGAACTTATTCGACTTACTCATTGTTTATGATTACCAACATAACTATTGCGGTAATTTTTAAAACGATTATAAATTATCATTACCCAACACTTTTTTTTTTCTTATACACCACTACGTGTAGTTTATGTCGTGTTTCATTCTGATTCTGAAACTAATCTTAAATTTATATTCGTAATCTTCATAAAATAACCTTTAAAGTGAGTCCAAACTTGACGCATTTATCTTAAAAAACCAAAAAGTTCGAACTTTCAACTTTTAATTTTGACATATTATTTGTCAACTTGATAAAAAATCCTTTAAAATGAGTCCAAACTCGACATATTTGACTTTGATATTAATGGAGATACAATCACTTCCGGTTTGAAACGTCAATTTTGACATATTTGTCATCTTCATTAAAAAACCTTTAAAATGAGTCCAAA